TGGGTGGTGTGGGTTGCAATGAAAGTGTACATGGTTTTCTGTGGCAACATTTGGAAAAGGGACCTGGCTGAGAGAGGAAGGCGTGGGGAAAGGCATTCAGGCAATGCTTCTGGAGATGAGTATGAAAGGAGAAAGTTCCTAATAAGTTGTCCAGATAAACACAAGCACAGGGAGTGATCGGAAGAAAGAGAAAGGGGTGTTCCAAGAGTAGATAACACCTAGACCCTAGGGAGAAAAAGATCTGTCACTTGCAGATCTTCAAGGAGCTAATGATGACTGGAGTTTTGCAGGTATTGAGCTGAGAGTGTCTACACTTGTGTGGGGAGGGCAAGCCTGAGTAGGGAAAGTGGAATATAAACATCTACAGAGTGTGAAAATCTCAACTCCACAGCAGTGGGGAACCTGAAAAGAGTTATATAGAAAATCAGTATTTTAAAAAGGCATTCTGGAAACTGTGGAGAATAATTTACAGTAAGCAAACCTGGAGGTAGGTTAGGTAAGCCAATGGTTCTTGAACTTCAGTGGGTAACAGAATCCTCTCAATTATTGAAACAAGAAGGCAAGTCTGTCACACCAAGGCTTCTGAACAGGAAGGTCTGGATCATGGCCTGAGAAAAATGCATTTCTAGTATGTGGTCCTGATGCTGTGGTACTGATGTTACCCACCCAGTAAACAGGCAGAGAACCACTGTAGGAGGCAGCATTGATAGTAAATTCAAACTCTATGATTTTCCCCCAGGAACTTGCCAGTTTTGCTTCAAAAGCACCTGTCTTGTCATGAATATATGTTTTATGCAACCTGCTCATTCTAGCCACAAGGCTTTTTATTAACATAATAGATGTCAGTTGATAAATTGCATTAATTCTTGTTATTTGTTTTAATTAGGTTTCTTATCTGTTTCTATTTTGTTTTTAATGAAAGCCCTTATGAATTGCTTTTGTAAGAATCTGGAAGTCAAGAAGTGAGACATGTTGCTGCAATTAGCCTAAAATCCAATGGAATTCATTGTTGAATGAAAAGGACTGGCCTTTCTAAAGAAAAACAAAATTGTGCTGATCACTCTAGTTTGCAAAAGAACCTAAAGAAAAGTTTGTTTTTGTTCACTCAAACTTATCTCTACAATGTTCCTGTGATGTGCTTTATTTGATACACCAGAGAAAACTCTCATGCTTTGATGCAGGATAAAAAGCAGATATGCTAGCACACTTGACTAAATCCTTTGTCTAAACTAAACACAATAGAGCAATTGAAGGCTGTCATATTTGGGCTCAGATTCTAGAAAGGAAAATTTGTTGGAGGAGGGGAAACCTTGTCTGTTTTCTGTAGATTAAAAACCCAATATTTCCCTTTTGAGACTAGAACAACAAAAAGGTCACATCATAAGCTATCTATAAATCCAATGATCACAATGCCTTTCTTAACCTGTGTATAAAAACAAAACCAAAAACCCAAAACAAAAAACACCCTAGCAAAGAGAAGCTATGCCTCATTAGAAAATAAAGAATCTCCATTAACTTGGGAACAAAGTTGCATATCTGTCTCATTATAATTGAAACAGCAAAGTTCTGTGTTGTTTTTTCATCAAGATGACAGTGAATTTGTAAAACCATCAGGCTGTTTATATCTCAGGAGTAGACTACTTTCAATGCTGAATTATTTTAGCATCATAGAATCTGTTAGTGTTAAGACATGTAAGAAAGATTTTGTCAAAATAAAGTCAATTTGTAATGATTTTTGTGACCATCTTGTGCTAATTTACTTCTGGTGACTACCCAATATCTCTCCTTGTATGGCATACCTGTAATACATCAGCGGTTCCTTTATCTCGGTATCAACTAACTTTCAAAATGCCTAGCCTCATTATGCTTGCCCAGTGTGTCCCAGTTGTGGTTACTAACGTCATAGTTATTTGAAAATGCAGGGATGTGTCCATGCTTCTGAAAAATGTTGGCCACACGCATCTTCTTAGAAGGTTAACTGCAGCCAGCAGAACCAGTGAAGGTACTAATGAAGCAGATTCCATCGACTTAGGCATTTTCTCTCTGCATAGTGACTCGCTGTGTGAACTCGAGATGGGTTTCAGCAGGAAGGGATTGCGGCATCCCTGAGCAGTGGGCCATAATTATAATTACAGGTGTGGCACAGACAGCAGGAGAGGGTGAGCTCATAAGAAACAAAGATTTGCTCTGCTGGATCATCTATCTTCACTGGAGAACAAAGAGCAGACGAATAAATAAGGGAGTTACCATGTAAACAAATTGAGCAACCACCAACACACAACAGAATGCATGTTCCTCAGCCAATATCTACACGCCTGTCTTACAGGAAGCTCTTGCCTTTCCCTGGTAGAGGTAAGTGCTGCCTTTCTGTTCCCTCCCAACCTTCAGTGGGTGGACAGGAGCTGATTGCATAACAGCAATGGAATTATATTCCTCTAGTCTTTCACCATCTCCCCCCACTCCAGTCTGTTTCACAATCGTCACAAGAGGACAACCCAAGCATTGACCTTGAATGAGAATGTTCAGGCCTCCTTGCTGTCTCAGCTAGAAAGAGGACAGCAAACCGTTCTTGTTCCTTTTAGAGCCCAATTCTAAAATGATAGGCATTGCTTTCTTTTTCTTCAGACAGCTCTCTTTTAGGCCAACAGCAGATTCAGTTGGGTTTTAAGCTAATTGGAGCAACATGCTTTTTACTTCTTCATTTTCAGATTTTCATAAAAGCAATTTGCAGGGCTAGGAGCCAATTTTCTACTGGAAAAGCAAATCAAAGGAGTACTGCAATTATGTAAATGATTAAGAAAAAAAATCACTGCAACACAATCTCTTGTCTGCCTACCTTTAGGCAGGGCAATTACACCCCTGTCTCCCTTTTCTGCTGTGCCCTCAACAACTGGTTTGCCTGTAGGCTGGGTGGTAAAGGGCAGTGCTGAGGTTCCCTGGGGATGGTGTTCTGACACAGCCAGAGGAAGATCAGGAGGTGGATTAGGAGCCTTTTCAGGCTGGCAAGCTTTTGATCTAGCATTCGTAAGCTAAGAAGAGCAAAGTTTACAGGAAAGCTAGAAAGGAAGCTTGAAAAGAGTAAGAGTGATGTTTGCCCTGTTTTAACTCCTTTTATTGTGTGCCTTAACCAAAGTCTTAAAGCAAAATAATTTCCTTTATATCAAAAATTATTGATAACATGAAGGTGATTGCTGCTGAAAGGGTTTTGGGCATGGCATTTGTTAAAGTAATGGGAAGCTCTACCACATGATGGACGATTCTTTCTTAGAAACCTGTGTGGGAGTACTGAAAATAGTCAAAGTAATAGGCATATAATTATCTTATTTCTCATGTTTTAATGCATAGAAAATTGCTTTCCTATATCACTTTGCACATCTTATTTTGGCTATCAGGAACTTGGTGGTCAGAGGAGAAAGTTCAGTGTGTATCAAGTGTAGCTTGATGAAAAAGAGATGGCAGGAAGTAGAGCCTTGACTTCATAAGGAAGAGAATGGCTGTATTATCCCTTAGAGGCAATGGACAAAGGCAAAAGAGAGAGCCAAGGCCCTTGACAGCTCTTACAGATGAGTCATTGACAGGCTAGCTCCCTTCTGTAGGGACTGCATGTTGTTTTCCTGCAAAAACCAAGCAGCTTTGTGGTTACAGTTTGCTTAGAGCCACCCAGAAAAGAACTAGGGCCTGATCTTAGTGAGAAACACCCTTAAAAAGGTGGGGCTAGAGTGCATGTCACATAGGGCTACAGGCCTGGACTACCAAAGCCACATGTGCATCACATCTCCTTAGAATGTCAAGGCTCTAGGGAGTAGAAGATACCCAAGTCTCCTCATGGGAGGAGAGCACATATATAGGCCTCTTTGAGACCATATGTATATATATATATATATATATATATATATATATATATATATATATCTGTTAGTTACCTGACTCCAAGTGGAGCAAACTGGATGCCTTGTAGTACCAGCCCCAAGCATTCACACTTGTAACTCATCATCCACCCAGGGGAAAGCAGAAAAAAGTGGGTGAGGGTGTGGGGAAAGAGAACAGAGTATATGTAGGGGCTAGGTGGTGGGTAGGGGTGGGAAGGGTAGTGAATGTGAGGCAAAAGGACAGTGTAGGTGATATTCAAAGATTGTGGGGCTGGATTCACAGTGAAGGAGGAAGCTGGTGCATGGTGCATGTGGTCCTCAGCTAAGGACCTGCTAACCTCTGGGATTTGCAGTGGATGACACAGCTTGTCCTGTAGCAGGCAGGGTTTAACCTAGCAGAGTAATTATAAAATCTAGCACACAGGGTGGCAAAGGATTTAGCAAGATATCCTAGAAGGCCTCAGAATATAGCTCAGTGGTAGAGCACCTGGCTAGCATACCAGAGGCTCTGGGTTTAGTAATCAGTGCCAGGGTGAGGGTAGTTCTAGAAGAAAGGAAAGTCTGGATGAGACATAGTAGATATTAATTGAAAATGAACAGCAATTAGCAGGAAGCATTTTGACAGAGTTATAATAATATTGCCCAGGGGGAGATGTTACAAAGGGAAGTGTGCAAATAGAGCTGCCTTTAATAGAACCACCAGAGTGAATGGCCAAGTGAAGGTGGTTCCATATGCCCTCATATGCCAAGTTTCTTTTCAAGTGCTTCCTTGACTGTGAACAGTACAAGCCTTATGTATGCAAGTCATTAGTTTTCCAGATAGGAGTGCTTTCACAGGTGTGGGTTTCAATAGACAAACACATGAGCAGTTGAGCACCAGCCCCCTCATTTTCAATGATTACTAGATTAGAGCAGAGACAATTCAGTTTCTGGAATGATGCAAGAGTTAATTTGCAACTGTCATTAAGGTCTCTCTCACTTGTGAGATTCCTGGAGGCAAAGTTTTAGTCTGAACCTTTTTAAGGGGTGCTTTCGAGCATTTTAACTTTTCCTTTGCCCCACTCTATTTCTTTTTCATTGGCCTCAATGCCCTAGAACGTTCTATCCAAGGTGAAAAACCACACTAAGTACCTGTAAACAACTTCCATCCTCTTTCGTCAGCAATGTCCACAACATAATGAACAGGAAATGGAATGGTCTTTCTCACTGTGTTGAGCTGCTGCTCATGTTTCTTGAACCAAGCATTCAGTTATCTCAAACTTCTCAATGATTCTGCTGATAGACGCTGTTGCTGCCATCCTACTACAGAGCTGAAGGATCTCGAGACAGGAAGAAGAGAGAGACATAGTGCTAATTTGAGGGTAGAAGGGAGGTCTGAGGCTAGCTAGACCTATACATTTGCATGTGACCAGTTAAGAAAAATTTTCCTTTCTAAAGGATAAAACAGAGTGATAATTTTGTTAGTTAAGCTCAGTTCCATCTCCCCTATCCCTTCCCTCTAGTGAAAAAGTAGGAGAGTTAGGAATCAGTACTTTAAGCCAGAGGTGGCTTTATTATTCCAATTACAGCCATTAAGGCCATTAAACCTGAATAACAAATAATAGTAATAATAATGATATCTAATAATATACTACAGTATAAGAATAATATCTTATACTATTTATATGCTTATGCTGTCTGAGGCTGGGTTCTGGACTGGAGGAGGCCTGCAGAGAAATCCACAGATGCTGCTCTATTGGGAAAGTGCTTATATTGACTTTAGTATTCAACTGATACTGACTTCACCTTCTGATTGTGTCGAGAAGCTAGGCCCACTCAGAAAGAGGCAAAGCATTTAGAAATGGGCCATTGGCTTCCTGTCTGTAAAAGATATATAAGGACACCTTTCCTTTCCAACTGGCTATCTAGTGAATCTCTAGCAGAATATCAAACATCTCCATTTAGGGGATGTGATAATTAAGGACTATTAGAGTTTTATTACCTGTCCTAGGTTCCATGAGAAGGCAAGCCCAGAATGCCATTATGTATAATGTAAAGCTTCCCTCTATCTATGGTTCGTAGGCAACAACATAAACCTATCTTTTTATGCTCCAGAAGCCATCAGGTTGTCTTTCAGTTATAGAGACATTTTTGTGCTTGGAATCTAAATCTCTCAGTTTTAAATGAACAGTTGCAGGATTGTTGCAGGCTTCCTGCTTCTTCATGCCTTACCCAGTTTTCCTTGTAGGAAAAAAATGCTTTATACATAAATATCAAATAATTGGATTGTTGAGGCAAGCCCTAAAGGACTTTTTATTTCGGCTTTCAATTTTCAGTATGAAGGAATATCATATAATATTTTTCAAATAATAAAGGAGTTCTCTTAAAACAAACAAACAAAGACCTTCAATGCTCTGATTGTCCTGGCCTTTAATAACAGGTCTAGGTGGGTGATGGCAAGAGGCCTTTAAGCTTTCATTGTTACCTAGTCCCACAAGATCTGTCACGTTTTATTGGTTTTTCTGGCTAGTCATTGTATGGTTTGGCAGCATAGAAGAATTTCACATTTTTGGAAACAATAGTGTGAACAAAGATTAGGTTTTTCTTTCTGTTATATATTATTATATTTGCTCTGAGTGTTCAGAAAACCTACCCTATATCCAACCAGCTACATAGTCTGTCCCATACCAGCCCCATTTTCTTGATCAGGAGTATTACATTCATGACTTAGACTCATAAACATGTCAGGTAGAAAGGTGTCAAGGAATACGTGGTGGCGGTGGTCAGAAGGGAACACTGGGATAGTGGCATGAAATAGAAGGTGCAGGGGCATTCATTCTAGAAGAGACAGATATTGCTGAGGATGATTTGACAATGGCAAGTCTATAGCATGTTGTAGGTAGCTCTCTCTGTGTGTGGCACATGTGTGATACAAGGCTAATTAATTCTTTAGCATACTGGCTATAAGCAGTGGGACATTGCTACATAGAATGTATGCAGCATAGCACAGTATTAATTTATGCAATCACAGTTCAATCTGAGTTTTAAAATGTAAAGATGTTTTAACAGCTAACTCAATGACTCACTAGTACCAATATATAGTTGTTGTAATCTATGTATGATGATTAGATGCTAGAAACAGAAAAATGTGCTATGGTTTCTAAAAAAAAAAAACTTACTTTCATAGTTGTATGGAGTCCTTCTCTGTCCTGCCAGCCAGCTCACAAATCACAACACAGAGATGACTTACTAATTAGGAATGCTTGGTCAATAGCTTAGGTTTGTTTCTAAATAGCTCTTATAACTTAAATTAACTCATTTCTATTAAGTTATGTCCTGCCATATGGCTTGTGGCTTGTTGCCTCTCCTCCTGCGTGTCCTGCTTACTCTGTGTCTCATGGCATCTCCTCATGATTCTTCCCAGCATCCTCTCTGTCCCAAAAGAAAATACTGCCTAGCTATTGGCCATTCAGCTTTTTATTAAACCAATCCAAGAGACACATCTTCACAGTATACAAAAAGATTATTCTACAACACATAGTATTTGAAAGGATAGTTTACTTTTGATACTTTAGATCATATTTAAAATTTAAATTAAGTGTTTTGAGTGTGTGTGTGTGTGTGTGTACACACACACACACACACACCCAACATGTGGTGCTTGTGGAGGCCAAAGGTTTATATAGTATTAGGATACTTCCTCAATAATTTCTTAGCCTTATATTTTAAGATAAAGTCTATCAATGAATCTAGAACAAATCTGGCCAGTGAGGCATCAGAATCCATCTACCTCTGTCCACCTCTAAAGTACTAAGATCACAGGCAGACACAGCCATATAGGTTGTGTATGGCTGCTGGGGATCCAAACTCAAGTCCTCATGCTTGTGCAAGCACTGTACCCAGTGAGCCATCCCTAGTACTACTAATGTTGTGAATTTTAGGTTCAAGTCTTTTATTTTGAAAAAGAGAGTTAATCTATTCCGAGGAAGCCAGGGCTCCTGCTTCTTGTTTGGCTAGTGACCAACCATTGTTTTTGTTTTGTGGGTTTTTGGTTTTGTTTGTGTTTACTGTTTGTTTTCTTTATACTCAGCTACTACTTGTTGATTGATGTGAGGACTTTGAGTAAAAATGAACATAGAGGATACAGTGTATTTATAGCTCAGTGGTAGAGCATTTGATGCACATGTACAGAGCCACAGACTTGATAACCAGCATTACACACACACACACACACACACACACACACACACACACACACACACACACACACACACACATTTACTGTGAAACTAGTATTTCCTGGCTTTTTTTTAAATCAGAGTAACTCTAATGCTAAACACACAAAGCATGTTAAATAACTCCTTAGGAATTAGGAATGAGTTTTAGAAGCTTTTCCCAGTGTCTGGTATTTCAAAACCTATTAAGATCTCAGCTGCCATCATCAGTTAAAGAACCACCAGCTCAAAAACCTAGGGGATGTAGCATCCATTTCAACTTGGTCATATATCTCAGCATCCCAGAACTAGCTCAAATGCTACTTAGAAGGCTAACCTTAAGTCTTTCCTTCATTGCCTTGAAGATCTAACATAAACAGACCTGACTGATTTATAGCCACATCACAACTCCCTGGTCATCATATCAGTTTCAAGCTGTGTAAGGTATGCTGAACAGTAGCTGGGCAGCCTCTTATAATATGTCTTCAGAAGGAGCCTGGATGTGAGCTGAAATAATGTATCAGAGCTGGACTGAAGTTAGGACAGGTGAGGGATGTGTAAGGAGTTAACTGGTGTCTCCGTGCTAACAGATACACATTTGGCTGTCCAGTCTAAATAAATCTCTAATGATCTGTCTTGAATACTTAATCTTATCATTAAGAAAAGGCACTGTTATATATGTCTTGAAACTAGTGGGAAAAAGTAACCATTTCAGCCTCATGTGCTCTTCAGTTTACTAATTCTGCATTATCAACAAATTTCTCAAGATTTCTGTGACATTTAAAATTTTTTTCTGGATATCCTGTATTTTCCACAAAAGTATTTAAGGTAGCTTCTAAAATTATAATGGATATATTTATTTGTATATATTTATGTTTATATGGATTTCAAGTCTCAGGACCCAAAAGCAAGATGTCTTCAGTGTTGCTCTTTTCCTTCCACAGGCAGGACATGTGCAACAACATGAGTAGCAGGGATGCTCCACTCTGTATTGACTGTGTGCTGGCATTCCCAGCATGGTAATCATCAGGAGGCATCTGCTACCTGAAACTGGGCAAAGCTGCCAGACCAGCCCCAGGCAGCACCGTACACCCAGGAGTGTTGTCAGACGCTCTTGATTTCACCACTTCTGGGTGTTCACCAAGGAGCGATGCCACCCAAAGGTATGAGGCTGAGCAATAATTGGTAGGTGTCGCCTTCTGCTGGGAAATAAGGTCATTAAGAGTCTGCTTTTGTGCCATTATTTACAGACAGGATGGGAAATAACAACCCTTAAACTGGACCACGCTGGGTCTGGAGAACATCTGACTTTTTAAAGTTTTGCTGCTTAGCATGTGAGATTGCAGTTTGGATGCATTCCAAGGATCCACAGCCAACTTGGCTTTGACACTCAGAGTCTTATGGGCCAACCTGGACCCCTTCAGAAAATGATTAGCATTATACAGTCCGAAATTTTCAGGCCCTTGTCTCCCCGCTCCTTTTTCCTTTACCATTATGTTGCTTGTGTTCATAGCTTATTGGTGCCAACAGAAATGTTGGCTGGTAAGTCAGGAAAAACACAATCAGTCCAAACTGAAGCTTGCTAGTCACAGTTGAAAGATTTGGTATGGAAGGAAGTAGGTTTTCAAGTGAATGTCAACAAAGTGTTAGTTTTATTAATCTGTAACACATTTGATATTATACATCTAAGAACACATCCTACTATGTTCCCTTATTATAAATGTGTCCAAGTCAATCCCTTCTATAACTACCCATGAGTAAGCACTCCCTCTACACCTTGTTTCCTTGCAGTATGATCCTACATTAATAGTTCTGTAAAGAAGAGTTGCTCTACTTGCTTCTTCTAATGTCCTCCTGACTTTCTCTTCCATCAATCTGATGCCTCAGTTTCCCCCAAGTTTGCCAATGCCTTATCAACTGAAAGCTAGTGAAATTCAGTTTTCAGTCTTTATCTTTCTGGGCCTTTGCTGTATTTTGTGCTTTTGATTACTTTTACTTTTCTGAAGCTCTTCTTGATATTAGCAAAGCTACATCCCTCCAACTCTCCCTGCACTATCCTGACTATGTTTTGCATGAAACCTTTTCCACCTACAATGTAAAAGCAACATTTCCTTCAGATATGCCTC